TCCAGAACTTGGAGACTTGAAAATCACTCCAGACACATGTGTATGCATGCCCAAAATCCTGAGCGGGATATGGAGGAAAAGGAATTACAGCATGCCCATCCCACAAGGAGTGATTTCTCACTTTTCCTCTCTCTTTTTCTGTCTCTCTCTGGCAAAAGTGCATGCCCTTTAGCAAAAAAAAAAAAAAAAAAAAAAAAAAAATTTTTTCCTCTGACCCAGCAGCAGTGACACAGAGGTAGAATGCTGGAAGCCATGTGGAAGACTGGAGTTGAGTTCCTATGTGTGTGTCTGGTCTTGCTGGCTGGGAGAGGCTGCAGGGTGGTCTCAGGTGGGACTCTGTTGAGGGTGCTTGTCTTTCTTTCTGTCTCTTATGATATAACTAAATCAAAACTTAAAAAAGATTTTAAACAAAGCGTACTTTTTTTTTTTTAAGATTTATTTTTAATTATATTTATTATCATTATTCTTAAATTTTGACCAGAGAGAGACAGGCAGAGAGAAAGGGAGAGCGAGAAAGCAAGCCGCCAGGTCTGGGACTTGAACCGTGGTCGGCCATGTGGGAATCTAGCACCTCAACCGCCACACCACCTGCCGGCCCCAAGAAATTTACTTTTAATCAGAATTGAGTATAAAAGAAGTTTTTCTTATCTTTGTGCAGATAGGCTCCGTTTTCAACTAAAAAATAATTATTTATTTTATTTTTTAATTAATTAATTAATTAATTAATGTATTTTGAGAGGTTTTTGCTATAGTGCACTTGCCAGAAAGAGAGAGACAGAGATGGAAAACGAGAAATCACACCCCGGGGGGATGGCCATGCTGCAATCCCCTTTCCTCCATTCTCCTCTTGGGATCTTGGGCACGCACGCACATACACCTGGTGTGAATTTAAGCCACCAGGTCTGGGACTCGAACTGCAGTCAACTACATGGGAGTCCAGCGATATACTCATTATGCCAACTGCTGGTCCCTTATTCTTTCATTTGTTTTTTTAATTTGAACAGAGAGAGACACACAGAGAAAGAGAGAAAGAGAGGGAAAGTAGGAAAGCAAGTCATCAGGTCTGGTATGTGAACTGTGGTAGGCCATATGAGGGTGTCAAACACCTTAACCACTACGCCACCTCCTGGTCCCTAAAATATTTTTTTTCAGAACGAGATTTTTGCTATGGGGCACATGTGTTCACTGGAAAGAGAGACAGAGAGACAGAAAGTGAGAAATCACCCCCCCCCACACACAGAGGTCATGGCCAAGCTACAATCTCTTTTCCTCCATTCTTCTCTTGGGATTTTGAGCATACACGCACACATGCCAGGCGTGAGTTTCAAGTCTCTGGGTCTGGGACTTGAACCACAGTTGACTTGGTAGGAGTTCAGCGATGTAACCATCTGCTGATCCCAGGTTCCATTTTTTATAGCCAGCTTTGCAGTGAGACAGAGTAACCTTGAGATAGCTTTACAATGGCCGGTTTCATCTCTAACATGGACTAAATGAGCACCTTTACAAAGTGTCTGATGCTATTGTTTGGTGATGAATAAACATGTTTGTGTTTTATATCAAAGAAGAGGGGAGATAAACATAATCTGTCCTGTCAGGGCTGCCAGTGTCAGCTCATGTTTCATTCCATTCTTGGCCTGATGAGCTACATAGAAGAGCTATGTCCATTTTGCAGTTTAACACCTCCCCAACCCAACTAGAAAAGGTGTAAAATGCTTCCACGTGGAACTCTTCCCTGCCCTCGGTGGGCTGCTATGGATCAGAGCAAGAATACAGACAAAACACCTCATTTGAATGTTCAGAAAAGCCAGAAATCCAGGGCTGGAAGTCCTCAAAACCTCCCTGCTATTCTTGCCCCTCGTCCCAGATGAGGGCTTAGGAAAGAGGGCTGAAGAAGAGGGAAGCCTCCAGAAGAACGTGTTCTTTCAAGAAGCAGGAAGTAACATTGACAGTTGGCAGTATCCCTTCCTCCCTTACACCCAGCTCAGGAATGAACCCAAACAAGAAGCAATGCTCTGCCCTCTTTCCACCCCAAATCCCAATACACGAATAAGGAGCAAAACAGAAAAGGCAGGCCAAGGAGTGGGTAAGCCCGAAGATGTAGCAGCGAGAGGCCAGTGAGTGACAGGGTCTCAGGGCATGTCATCATTAGCTCGCTCACCCGTGGGCACTGTTCACTGCTCAAGGGAGTGCTGTTTTGCTGAGGGAGGAAATCTGCGGTTACTTTAAAAAGTTTAAGAAAAAGGGAATTAAAGTCTATGTTTATTTTGGTGCTAAAAATTTTGGAATGCCGCACATAGTTTTTTCATAATACACATTTTCTAGGAACTTTTTGAAGATCTCTCATATTTGCAAGAAGAATTACAGTGGACTGGGGGATTGAGGTAATTTTGCACCACAGAATTTCACGTGGCAATTTGCTTGAAGCAATCGTCACCTGCATCTCAAAGAGGTGGATCAAGAGTGACCTTCTTAAAGCTTTTGTACTTTGTGCATTTTTTAGTTGGGACTTTCTCTCTTTGGAGTTTTTGTGCCTAAACATTCTTGAAGCTGTGAAGTCAACATGGCACAACTGCTGAGATTCTGCACTGTGATTTTCCAACTTCTCTTGGGACCTTGAGGGAAAGATGGCCCATAGGGAGCCAAGGGTGACAATAGAGACCCATTTAAATTTGGTCTTTGCCATTTCTTCTTGATTTCTGGGAACAAACAATGTTCAATTCTCCACAACTCAACCCCAGCTGGATGGCAGAGTTCTCAGCGCATGCTCGTGGACTGTAGCTGACTCCAAGGCTGACCTAGTCACTGGTTCTATCCTCTCAGGCAAGGAGTTAGTACTTAGTCCGGCCAGAGGTGGCACACCTACTCCAGCATTAAGACCACCTTTCTGTGACTTCAAAACCATAGGCTGTGGAGCTGCACTGCCGAGGTTCAAATCTCAGCTCTGGGCCTTTTATTACAGCTGAAAAATACCGACTTGGTCAAATCATCTTCCTAAGCCTTTCTTTCCTTGTTCATAAAATGTGCCTTTTTTATTTTTAATTTTTTAAATTTTTTATTTTTTGGAGAGATTTTTGCTATAGGGCGCGTACACTTGCCAGACAGAGAGACATAGAGACAGAAAGTGAGAAATCGCCCCCCAGGGGGGATGGTCATGCCACAATCCCTTCTCCTCTTCTCCTCTTGGGATCTTGGGCATGCACGTACATGCGCCCGGCATGAGTTCTAAGCCACCGGGTCTGGGACGCGAACCGTGGTCGACTATGTGGGAGTCCAGCGACATAGCCATTATGCTAACTGCTGGTTCCCCATAAAATGTGCCTTATAAGCTCTTTCTGAGGATGAAAGAAATGGTCCTTAAATAAGAGTCTGCCGGGATCAGCAGTTAGCGTAATGGCTATGTTGCTGGACTCCCACGTAGTCGACCGCGGTTCGTGTCCCGGACCCGGTGGCTTAAAACTTACGCCGGGCGCGTGTGCATGCGTGCCCAAGATTCCGAGAGGAGAATGGAGGAGAAGGGATTGTGGCATGACCATCCCCCCTGGGGGATGATTTCTCGTTTTCTGTCTCTATGTTTCTCTCTCTGGCAAGCGCACACGCCATATAGCAAAAACCTCTTCAAATAAATAAAAAAATAAAAAAAAATAAGAGTCTGCCGGGATCAGCAGTTAGCATAATGGCTATGTCGCTGGACTCCCACATAGTCGACCACGGTTCGCGTCCCAGACCCGGTGGCTTAGAACTCATGCCGGGCGCATGTACGTGCATGCCCAAGATCCCAAGAGGAGAAGAGGAGAAGGGATTGTGGCATGACCATCCCCCCTGGGGGATGATTTCTCGTTTTCTGTCTCTATGTTTCTCTCTCTGGCAAGCGCACACGCCATATAGCAAAAACCTCTTCAAATAAATAAAAAAATAAAAAAAAATAAGAGTCTGCCGGGATCAGCAGTTAGCATAATGGCTATGTCGCTGGACTCCCACATAGTCGACCACGGTTCGCGTCCCAGACCCGGTGGCTTAGAACTCATGCCGGGCGCATGTACGTGCATGCCCAAGATCCCAAGAGGAGAAGAGGAGAAGGGATTGTGGCATGACCATCCCCCCTGGGGGATGATTTCTCGTTTTCTGTCTCTATGTTTCTCTCTCTGGCAAGCGCACACGCCATATAGCAAAAACCTCTTCAAATAAATAAAAAAATAAAAAAAAATAAGAGTCTGCCGGGATCAGCAGTTAGCATAATGGCTATGTCGCTGGACTCCCACATAGTCGACCACGGTTCGCGTCCCAGACCCGGTGGCTTAGAACTCATGCCGGGCGCATGTACGTGCATGCCCAAGATCCCAAGAGGAGAAGAGGAGAAGGGATTGTGGCATGACCATCCCCCCTGGGGGATGATTTCTCGTTTTCTGTCTCTATGTTTCTCTCTCTGGCAAGCGCACACGCCATATAGCAAAAACCTCTTCAAATAAATAAAAAAATAAAAAAAAAATAAGAGTCTGCCACATGGTAAGAACGCAGCAGGCTCAGATTTCTGTTTCTCACTGAATGAGAATCATCCAGTTTGATTATTCCTAAAGTTCCGTCCAGACTCCACTGGCTCCTGGAAAATCAAGGACATTTGCTCTCCCATCCACCAAATATCAAGTTCAAATTTTCACGAATAAAACTAGATGATGTCATTCCAAAAGCAGAGCTGGATCCCTTGGCCTAACTGTTCTTACATCTGGTCCAAATACTCATTTTTCTCCCAACTTTTGAACTGGAAAAATAGAATGCCATGTAAAAACTTAGGCTGTCCTTAAGGAGTTCAACGGTGATCAGGAACGAGGCAGCGTTATTCTGGCAAATTTCTTTCGAGTTTCTAACTTCAGAAATAGAGTATGTGAAAGCTGAACATCTAAACAAGGTTTACCCAATCCTTAATGCAGCATTTTTCCTTTCAGAGCCCAACCATTACAACGCTACCAGTAACCACATAGCTGTTACTGATGGTGAATTCTTACTCTTTCTCCATAGAAGACATTTCTGGATCATTGTACAGGCAGCTAGTTCTGAGTGCAAGGAAAAAAAACAGGAATCAGTCAGCATTTCTCCACCGTTACCACTGTGTAAGCACAACAGACTGGGGACATTTGAAATGACTTAACGTGATCTTATAGCTAATACGGGAAACATCTACACCTGAATCTACAGCATCTACAGATGATGAGATTAGACGGAGTTCAGAACACAGTAATTATCTGTGATTTAGAAACATTAAAGAAAGATGAAAAACTCTGAACATCCTGTCTAGTGAGACCCTGTGTCCTTGTCATGTTTTTCTAACTTTTTCATCCCTCTTATTCAGGGAACATAATATTGCAAAATGGTTTTGTGTACCCCCAAATAACAAAATATTTATACACAAAGGAAAATCTCTCTCTAATAGCCCAGTTTTATTTGCACACAAATACAGTTAACTTCCAGTGCCAGCTCTCTTGGTTGATGTGGGTACTGTCACAGAAAAAGAAGAGGACACTTACCATACAGCCGAGCTCTGGTTGGGTAATAGGAACGAATCCTAACATTAACCAGAATGGAGTGTGTCCAGGAAAAAATATGTGACCATACAACATAATGAAGTAAGAGTTTTTGATGGTGCTTATGGGTAATATTAGGCATTGTTGACATTTTGTATTGATATGATCCCTCTGTTAGCACATTTCAAATTTATATTAATTCCTGGTTAATACTTAGTATACTTTGAATTTTACTTTTCTTTTCCCTATCTGGCAAATATTTTATTATTGGCAAACAAACAACACTTAAGAGGATTCTATGATGTCATTTAAATGTAAGAATTCTTTTTGAAGTAAAAGGTTGTGTAGGGGTCAGCAGGTGCATGGTGGTTAAGGGTGCTGGACTCCCACATGGCCAACCACAGTTTGAGTCCCGGATCTGGCAGCTTGCTTTCTTATTCTCTCTCTCTTTCTCTCTCACTCTGCCCCTCTCTGGTCAAATTTAAATAAAAATTAATTAATTAAATAAACAAAGCTCAATAAAATAATTTTTTTTTTTTTTTTTATAAAAAAGAGGTTGCACAATGAGGGTTAGGTATTTGTTGAAGATGGCACACAGGTATCTCCCTGGCCAGGGCAGCAGTGTCTCTCCCCTCTCTCCCTACCCTTCTTCCTGGTGGTCTGATATTTTTATAGAGAATATCTGGCAACTTTAGTTAACAAGAACAGTCAAGTAAGTGTTGACAGCGTGCTAGAAAAACCTAGCAAAGCTGGAAGGGAATCAAGAAAGGGCAATCTTCCAGGCTCGGCTTTTCTGCTTTTTAACTTTGAGCAAGCCTTCCAAAGAAAACAGTAATTCGCAAACCATTCAGTATTGCTACTCCAAAGGCAGCAGATGGAGTGTTCCTCATTTTCAAAATCAGAATGGTACTATGTATACTTTTTAATCCTTCGAAAGGATTTTCCTTCCTGTGTAATCTAAGGTTTTAAAGGTAGGATAAGGCAGGATGAACAAATCACCTTCGTAAAGTAAATGAGAGGGTCAGCAGGTGGTGAAGGTGCTGGACACTCCCACATGGCCAGCCACGGTTCTAGTCCCAGACCTGGTGGCTTCTTTTCTTACTTTCCCTCTCTATCTCTTTCTCTGTGTTTCTTTCTGGTCAAATGAAAACAAATGAATGAATAAATAAAATTAAATAAAATAATAAATTTTTTTTTAAAAAAAGTAAATGAGAGGTAAGGTGCAATTTGATTGGTAGTCTCTGTGTGAGGGGAGAGGAAGAATGTTTCAAAATACTAGTGAAAATAAAGCAAAACAACAGACAGATTTTGTTCCCTAGCAAAGTATGTATTTGCCTTTGGTTAGATTCATCCTAAAGCTTTCTAATAAAATCATGTGGAAAGGCAAGGCACCTCTTTCAATAGAAAAAACCTGGGTGTATCTGCCTTCTAATCATAGATCTGTAGTGATTACGTTTTCGGAAGCAAAATGACCACAGAGAGCTATCCTCGAATTTAGGGGCCACTCCAAAGGCTGAAAGACAGTCGAGAAGATACAGCTATTATGCTGGAGTGGGATGATTCTGAGATATTCCAATCATCTGTGGCATCAAAAAGAATTCTTTACATTTAAAAATTTATCATACAGTGATGATGCCATCAAAAGAAACAAGATCAACTAGAGGTGGATTCTTCCAGCACATGGCCTACCGACTGAATCAAAATCAAGAACATCAACTCCTAAGACAATTATGATTGTTTTCACTTGTCCTTTCACTGTACTGTTTTTCACTTTTTAAGAATTATTTATTTATTGTTACTATTATTTTTAATTTGACCAGAGAAAGAGAGAAGGAGAGAGGGAAAAGTGAGAAAGCAAGCCACCAGTTCTGGGACCCGAACCGTGGTTAACCTTGTGGGAGTCCAGTATCTTAACTACCACATCACCTGCTATCTCCTCACTATATTATTTATTTATTTTTTTTTGCAGAGGTTTTTGCTATAGGGTGCATGTGCTTGCCAGAAAGACAGAGAGAGACAGAGAGACAGAAAGCAAGGAATTACCCCCCAGGGGGGATGGACACGTCGCAATCCCTTCTCCTCTCGGGATCTTGGACACGGACACACACGCGCCTGGCATGAGTTTAAGCCACCAGGTCCAGGACTCGAACTGTGATCAACTACATGGGAGTCCAGAGACATAGCCATTATGCTACGGCTAGTGTTGGTCCCTTTGCTATACTATTGAGGTGGATAGTCCTGAGACTGACAACATCAGCATCCCTGGGAACTACTTAGAATCGTAGACTTTTTAGGCCCCATTGCAGATGTGCTGAATCTGAAAATCTGACAGGTCCAGGATATTGAGTTTTAGCAAGCACTCCAGCTCTCTCTGAAGCACAATAAAGTCTGAGAACTCACTGCTCAACAGCAATGAGCTTACTTATGCATATTCATTAATTAATGCCATATCAATTTACTGAGCATCTGCTAAGTATTAGATGTAAACATAGTGCTTTCTTTGGGAGAGAAATCAAGACTTCTGAGGACCACCTGAACTATCCTCAGGGGGAAGTACGGGGTCGGTAAATAGAACAAGCTGATGGGTGTGAGAGAAAAAAGAGAAAGCTAGACGACTGAACCAGAAAATCATCATTTAACCATGACAGCTAAGCAGGAAGAATACAGAAAGGAAAAAAATCTCTTAAAGGAGGCCAGATTTCATGGTGATAATGAAAAAAACATGACAATAGGATTTTATGATAGGTTTGGCTAGAAAATAACTGATGTTCCTCTCCTCCATCTTCTGTCTTGAAAACAGCTTTTCTATTCCATAAATACATTATCATCCTAAAAAACATTCTGAAAGAGAAACTCATTAAAGTTCTTCTCTCTGGGGAATCTTATGACACAAAGTAATTTGAGTAAAGGTGAGCACTAAAGGGATAGATTATTACACCAACACTGAGTTCCTTGGTTCCTGATATTTTCCTGACTTCCACAAGCTCTTATTTATAATAGTTAAGTTAGAGATTAAGAAGATTCTGTTGGAATAAAAAATTATATACTTTCAATTTTGTTAGTCTAAGTGGGTGTTAGTTATCTTTAAAAAAATTATAAGCTAGGGATATTTAACAGTGAACTATACTGATGCTGAACTTTCTTTTTTAAACATTATTTTATTTAATTTTATCCATTGTCACTATTTTATTTTATTTATTTTTTGAAGTTGACCAGAGAGAGGGAAGGAAAGTGAGAACTCAAACAGCTGTCAGTCATATGGGAGTCCAGCCCCCTGAATCACCAGGACACCTGCAGGGCCACTAATGCTGAACTTTCTAATGCAAAATGCTTTCCTTAACATTTTAACACAAAAGATCCACCTTATCAGCCGATAATTCCATAGGTTGGCTACACTAAAAATGTTATCATACAAACAAATATCTGGATTCAGTCTTAATGAGAAATTGACATTTACAACTATGCAGAACACCTTCACTACTTAGGTCTTATTTATTAAGAATTCATAGGTGTTTGGACATTGTCCAGAGTTTCTGCTTTTGTAATATCTATTAAAACAAGAACTGGTTGTAAAAATCAACTGCATAAGCAACATTTGAAATGAAGAAGCAGTACATTTCTAGAGCACTTGTCTGCATTTAGCATACAGTGTTAGAAAAATTTTCATAACTTGGAAACAAGAACAGAAACAACTGGAATATTTTTTCAGAGTTGCACTGGGCTGACTTTCCATTGATTGGGTAATCGTATAACTTTGGAGAGGGAGATATTAATTTGTAAATTTTTGTAGAACAGAAATACAAATAATTTCTGTTCAGTGGAAGAGCTAGCCTCAATGTTACTATCTATTCTCCTGTTGTACATTAGCCAGTTTTGTTTTAGTTTTTTTTTTTTTTTTTT